TACCCTATATCTCTAGTATATGGCTTTGTTCTAGTCTCCTGCCTGCTCATTCTCTCCCTTTTTTTTCTTTTCTTTTTCTTTTTAAATCCTCTTCTTTCTTTTCTCAACCAACTTCTTATCTTATCAATTCCTTTTATAAAATCTTTTATAATTTTCATCTTTACAGTCATATTCCATCCCTTCATCGTATTAACCCTTATTTTTGCACATATATAAGTTTTTCTTTCTTTAAAATTTTGGGAGGCACTTTCTTCTAACAGACCAAAATACACCCAAAATCTCGTGTGTGGCACTGATCTATGCACCAGCCTGATCATATTTGATCATGTTCTGTTTGTTTGTTTTTATCTTTATCTTTTTTCTTTCTTTCCCTTTCTTTTCCCCCAGTTTCAGGTCTTTTCTGATTTGTTTAGTGTATATTTTCTGGGGACGTTGTTACCCTGTTAGCATTTCGTTCACTCATTCATCTGTTTTCCTCTGGACAAAATGACAAGACTGAAAAAATCACTTCAACAAAAAGAACAAGACACAGTACCGACTACCAGGGACCTAATCAATACAGACATTAGTAAGATGTCAGAACTAGAGTTCAGAATGATGATTTTAAAGATACTAGCTGGGCTTGAAGAAAGCATGGAAGTTATTAGAGAAACCCTTTCTGGAGAAGTAAAAGAACTAAAGTTTAACCAAGTCAGAATCAAAAAGGCTATTAATGAGGTGCAATAAAAAATGGAGGCTCTAACTGCTAGGATAAATGAGGCAGAAGAGAGAATTAGTCATATAGAAGACCAAATGATGGAAAATAAAGAAGTTGAGAAAAAGAGAGATAAACAACTACTGGATCATGAGCACAGAATTTGAGAGATAAGTGATACCATAAGACAAAACAACATTAGAATAATTGGGATCCCAGAAGAAGAAGAAAGAGCGAGAGGGGCAGAAGGTATATTGGAGCAAATTATAGCAGAGAACTTCCCTAATTTGGGGAAAGAAAGAGGCATCAAAATCCAGGAGGCACAGAGAACCCCTCTCAAAATCAATAAAAATAGGTCAACTCCCTGACATCTAATAGTAAAAGTTATGAGTCTCAGAGACAAAGAGAAAATCCTGAAAGCAGCTCGGGAGAAGAGATCTGTAACCTACAATGGTAGAAACAT